AAAAATTGGAAAAAAAAAAAAAAAAAAAAAAAAAAAAAAAGTTATAAAGAGAATGAAGATCAACTCTTCTCTCCAGCCATTGGGACAGAACAATAAGTAATGGGACATTTAGGTGGGTTATGAAGAACTTTGTAACTATAAGGGCGACTAAGCATTGGAACAGATGATCTGGAGAGAGAGAGAGTAAAGTGTCCATCGTTATATAATCTGGACTTAAAACTTCCCAAATTTTATTTAGGTTGATTGGGACCAGACATGATCCAGCCTTGAGCAACAGGTTGGATTTCATACGTCTGGAGGTCCCTTTCAGTCTTATTTTTGTACGAAACCGTCATTATTTTTCACAAAATAATTTATCAAGCAAATGAAAAGAGCCCTGTTTGTTCAAAGAATCTTCCTGTTCTTTTTTACATTGACAAAATAAGACAGGTAATTTAGTGAGACCTAAAAATGAATCTGAGGTGCCAAGGTTAGCATTATAGTCATCTCTAATATTAAACTGACAAGTTAAATTCCTAATGCATATTAGATGGCACTGGGCTGCCAGCATCCAAATCAACACTAATGGGAAAACTAATTGATTTCATGATTCCAGTTCATGAGTATCATCGCTTGACTTCTAATAAATAACAGACCCATCCTTTTGAACCTGTGTTTCCAGAAAGAATGATTGCCTCTGTCATTTTTTTTTAACTCTATTTTTGGTCATATTTTGGGAGGTTTCCTTGAAACCCTTTCATGCAATTACATTTATTGACCAAGCAACTGTTGTTTCTCTCCTCTAAGCTTGGAAGCCTGAATGACACTTAAAACCCCCCAAAAACCCCACTTTGTGACAGGGAATACATCCAATCTACCAGACGTGGTCCTACTGCCATTACCACCAGTCTCTGTCACTGGTTTTAGTAAAACCGCACTACTGAAATCAGCTATCATGTAAATGTATGGCTAAAGCAAGTGTTAATACCAGTAACATGAAAACTCGTTATAAAAACCATTGGTGATCTCATTAAACTTTGTACAGTCAGAGCTTTTAAAAAACGTTGTGTAAATATGCTTTAGTCAGAGTTAATCTTTATTGTAGCTGATCCAGGGTATTATTCATGTCTTCCTAGTAATCTGATTAGCGTATCAGTCAGATCAGACAGTCAACAAGACTTTTATGGGCAATGTCTACACAGCATCTGGAAGCACTGCCATGAAGCATGCCCATGAATTGCTCCCAATTCATATGTGCCAGCTCCTAAAAATGAGCCAACATAGCTGCTTCAAAGCAGTGCCAGACTCATGTTGGAGCCACTCTTCAGCTCTCTTACTGACACGTGCTCAGCCCTGCTCTAAGGAAGTGGCATTGCCTCCTGTCTAGGGTTTGGCACACATGGGGTGAGAACAAGTGGGTGGAGTACTTCCCAGTTGGCTCCCAGGTGGTGTGTGTGTGTCCTATATCTCTATTTGGGCACCTACATAAAAGGGGTTTCTAAAGGGCTGGGGTCTCCAGCTCCCATTAAAACCAGTGAAAGCTGTGAGCATTCTTCAGCTCAGAACAGTTCAGCCCAAACATCCGCATTTTCCATGGTGGGCATGAGGGTGGGGTGCCAGCTATACCTCTGATTACATAGGCAGAAAGGTAGATGCCCGCCTACAGTTCCCTGACATATAGGTAAGCTGCCTTTGCCACCTCACAACACATGCCTGCTTGAAAATATCACCAAGGGGGGGATTTCAAAGGCATCAATGGGACTTCGAAAGTCTCACTAATTTTCAAGGGGATTTAGGTGCCTAACTGCCCTTAGTGCCTTTGAAAATCTCTCTCAAGGCTAAGATTTTCCCTGTGTGTGCCTAAAGTTGGGTAAATCTTAGGTGTCTAAATAAAAGACCTGATTAGCTAAAATGCTGAGTCTGCATCAGCTTCCACTGAAGTCAGTTGGGAGCTGCTGGGCATTCTGCTTTTTCGCTTTTTTTTTTTTTTTTAAATCAGACCATTTATTTAGGTGCCTTGCTAAGGCCTTTGGCACCAGGTGTTAGGTACCCACAAACCCTTGGCCAGAGTGCATCACATTTAAGCACCAAGGTTTGCAAAGGTTGGGTCTAATGCAATACATGTGCTTTCTGTCCTCATGCCAGCATTTTATGTTCAAGGTTGAAGACCATTTCTGTGCCCTTCATTAACTTAAAGAACTATGAGTTCCTGATCAGCCACTACCCTGTGTAAAATAGGCATACTAATATGTTTAGGTTAGTAGCACATTTGTGATCTCTGGGTGAAGAGCAATAGAGAAGTGCTCTGTGATGGTGTATCTCTTAATAATAATATACAGCCTGGACTGCAATCCCTAAAGGAGCAAAAATTCCCTCTGACATCCATGGACGCTTTGCTTCCAGAGCTGCTGTGCTATCAAGTGCTCGCTTCTCTGTGCTGTAGCTCCCATTATAATGATGTTGGCACCTCACTGGAGTCCAGTGTAATGGTTTCATTTCCAGCCCTCAATATTTTTTTCTTTCTTATTCTGTATATTGCATGTAACTGTGATTGGTTTTCTTTTTTTTTTTTTTTCTTTTTTCCCCTTCATTCCTTAATTTATGTATAAATAAGTAGGGTCTGCCACATACCTGATCCATGCACTTTCCTCACTAAATTTTGAGTTGTCCCTGGTAGAGTGGACACAGACCCCTGAGGTGATGCAAAACTGTAGACTCTGGAGAGGCTGACAATTAGTGATAAATTCAAAAACAACAATTAGAGCTTCAGATGCTTTGAAAGAATAATTAAAGCTGAAGAATGTGTTCCTTGCCAGTGCACTGTACAAGTGATTTCTGCAGTGAAGTTTTACTTGAAATTAAAACCATGTTGACTTTTCAGGTCAGGTGCCAGCATTGTAACTTAATGCACAGGACTGTAACTAAAGGCTCATTAAAAGCACATCAGGCTATGGCTACTAAAGATGCATGTGACAATAAAAAACCGCAAAAGCTTATAAAAAGAGTGAGTGGAAATCTTTTTTTAAATTGTAAAACAATTCAATGAAACTTTTTTTTTCCCCAAACAGTTCTTACTATGGTCTGCCAAAGATGCCTGCATCATAGGAAAGAGAGAATTAGAAATGTCTAATGCTCATTTTATATATTACAACACAGTTTGTTTACAAGCAAAATTAACTGATAATTTTTTGCTGCATTTTTCCTTTCATGTGGCCTTTTCTCATGAATGTATTGTGTATTCTTTGCCCATTGAAATCATTGGCATGTTGGGTAACCAATGGCCCACCATTACCTGGTTTTAATTACCGGTACATTCCTCACTGCTTTGGCATTTTAACCAGAAAGGAATATTGGACCAAGTTTTGACAATAGATATGTTCAAGCAACAAGCGTAGAAGACGGAGAGCCGAACATATGTATGTAATGGCAAAATAATTATTACCAATAAACAAAACCCGCAGCCCCCTGGTGAGGGGGCTGCAGGTGCTTGACCCCCTGGGTGACAGTGACCACTGCCGGCTTGAATTCACCATTCAACGCAAGGTGGCAAAGGCAAGCAGTCAGGTGGTGGCCCTAGATTTTAGGAGGGCGAACTTCAACGAGCTAAGAAGGATAGTTGGAGAAGCGCTGAAGACTCAGAGGGGAGGGGAGCCGGGTGTCCAAGGGGAGTGGTCGCTCCTTAAGGAGACGATCCTCCAAGCCCAGGGGAAGGTAATCCCCAGGAGGG